TCTGTTTCCTTTTTGTGTCAAATGGTCCGACACAAAAATTGGAGTGTTGTTGCCTTTTTAAGCCCAAATGCTGCGAAGTGAGTTTATTGTTTTTATTTTGAAAATTATATATTTTTGCAGCGTGTAATATATTCGTCTTCTGTATGTAGGATGACAATTCGACTACTATGGGCTTTTTGTCACCCTTGTGAGAGGATCTATAAATGTCTTTTATATCGTTAGTTTTGAGTTCAACTTTGAGCGATGTAGATAATTGAGTAACCATATTTATTAGGGATGATTTTGATTCATTATCCATTTTCGGCACATTTTTTAATTCAAATGAGCATTTACGATACGACTTGATCGTAAATGCTCATTTGAATTAAAAAATGATTGTCTATTATTTATATAATTTTATTAAACTTATTTTATTAAAACTTGGGGGATGAGTCGCTCGCGTCCGTAGGCTTCGACCACCTAACCTTAGGCCCACCCTACACGTGTCCCCCGGGTGGTGCTAAACGAGCGACAAAGCCGAAAAATAGACTCGGCTCCTCGCCGTATGGTAGCGGCGTAAAATTTACCACCACCCCTTGTTCGCACCATGACTCAGAAAATAAAAGAAATGGCCCCAAGTTCCCGGCGCCCCTTCAATGGGGCAGGGGTGCGAAGAATCTCCGGGAGAAAAACCGGCGACGAGGTTCGCCACCCGTCACGTTCTGTCTCCCGGAGGGGCGAAAAGTGGATTGCGGAAACCCGTCTGGCTACGCTGAATGTATGTGGAGGAATGAACGATAAGATGGATGAAGTATGCGAAATGATGAATGACAGAGGAATAGATGTGTTATGTGTGAATGAGACGAAACGAAAGGGAAAGGATGCAACTGCACATGGCACGTATACCGCGTATTGGTCTGGTGTAGACGAGACCGAACGGGCATGCCAGGGAGTAGGTTTCATCCTTTCAGAAAGAATGGGTCAATGTGTGAAAGAGTATGAATGTGTAAGCCCGAGGCTGCTATGGATACGAATGAAAGTGGGCTTAAAGAAGCTGTTCCTTCTAGGGGTGTACGCTCCAGACATGTCTAAGCCCACTTACATCCGAGAGCAGTTTTGGGACATGGTAAGGATGGTGTTGACAAAATGTAAGGAAATTGAAAATATTATTATGTTAGGAGACTTTAATGGAAGGGTTGGGGTGAAGAGGTCTGGTTATGAAAGGATATTGGGAACGTTTGGTGATGAAAGTATAAATGAGAATGGTGAAGACCTCCTCACCGTATGTGTGGAAAATAATCTTTTTGTGACATAAGAAGATTCACATGTATACATGGGAAAACGGGTGATGATAGAAGCATGATAGATTTCGTAAATGTGGATGATAGAATGAGGAGCGCAGTCGTAGATACAAGGGTTTACCGGGGGTCCAACATAGGGACGGATCATTACTTGGTCTTATGTCAAATTAATGGTCTTTTCAAGCGTTGGCGGCATCGGACATCTGTGTCTACCACTGCTTTACAGCGTATAAGAATAGAGAAGTTACAAGATGAAGATGTGAAAGAGAAGTATAAATGTAGACTGAGAGGAAATATTAGATGTTTGAATGAGTTGTGTATGAATGATTTAGACTTGAATACTGTGTGGGATAATATTAAGAAAGGTTTGGTGGATGCCGCCACCGAAGTATGTGGTGTAAGTAAGAGAACAAATGAAAGGAAAAGTAATACGTTGTGGTGGGATGATGAGGTACGGGTAGAAGTTGAATCAAAGAAGAAAGCATGGTTAGATTTACTAGCAACCAAAGCTGGTAATTCTTCTGGTATTAATAATGAGATTGAAAGAAAAAGGCAGAATTTAGACGTCTAAATAAGAGAGTAAAAGAAGTTGTTGAAAGGAAAAAGAAAGAAAGAACGGATAAGAATGATAGCAGGATATCTGATAATTTCCAGGCTAACATAAAAATGTTCTGGAAACTCGTAGGAACTGCCAGGGGAAATACAAAACAGCCTCTAATGAATGCTATAAGAGACGAGAATGGATGTATTCTGAATGATGAAGCTTCGAATTTATACAGATGGAAGGAATACTTTGAAAGCGTGTTTATGAATGAAGAGTCGTCCGATTCCGAAAATTCCGAAAGAAGTGGAAGGGGCTATGGAGATAAGTGTAGATGAAATAATGAAAGCAATGAAAAGCATGAAAGCAGGTAAGGCAGCTGGATATGATAGAGTATCACTCGAGATGCTAAGGGCTGGAGAGGGAGTGGTGGCAAGCCTGCTGTACACCTAGTTTAATTTATGTTGGGAATTAAAACGGGTACCGGATGACTGGTGTAAAGCAGTTATAGTACCAATATATAAAGGAAAAGGGTCACAGCAGGATTGCAAAAACTACCGTGGTATCAGCTTGCTTAGTATTGTGGGTAAACTGTATGCTAAGGTGTTAATTGAAAGAGTTATGAAAGAAACTGATGGAAAAATTTGGGATGTGCAAGCGGGTTTTAGAAAGGGAATAGGGTGTACAGATCAAGTCTTTTCCATGCGCATGATTGCGGAAAAGTTTTTGGCCAGAAACCAGAAAGTTTTTTGTGCGTTCATGGACTTGGAAAAGGCTTATGACAGAGTGGACAGGAATGTGTTATGGCAAACACTGAAATCATATGGGTTGAGCGCTGGTTTGATACAGGCATTAAGGTCTCTTTATAGGGACTCTAGTGCTTGTGTAAGGATTAATGGGGTCTACTCGGACTGGTTTGTCATCCAAAAAGGTGTCAGACAGGGCTGTGTAGCTTCCCCTTGGCTGTTCAACCTATTTATGGACAGGTGTTTGCAAACTTTGAAAGATGAAGAATGTGGGTTAAGAATGGGCGATTTAACCGTCAAATGCCTTTTGTATGCCGATGATCAAGTCATATTTGCGTCATCGGCGGCTGAGTTGCAAATGATGGTTACATTAATGAACTGGGAATTAAAAGAAAGGGGAATGAAAGTGAACGCAAGTAAGACGAAAGTGATGGTTTTTGAAAGAGAAGAAAGCAAAACGGTATGTGAAATAAGAATAGAAGGAGAGTTAATTGAGCAAGTGGATGAGTTTGTGTATTTAGGATGTGTATTTAGCAGGGATGGTAGATATGATAGGGAATTAGAACGACGAGTAAATGCAGGGAATAGAGTGAATGGGGCACTACACTCTATTGTGAAGAACCAGAATGTGTCAAAAAAGGCACGTATGGTAATTCATAATGCTGTGTTAATCCCTACTTTAATGTATGGTAGTGAAAACTGGGTGTGGCAGAAGAAGCACGAAAGGAGAATAAATGCTGTAGAAATGCGGTCTTTAAGGAGTATGCTAGGGTTGAATCTGAATTACAGGGTGAGAAATTGCGTGATTAGAGATAAATGTGGTATGCAAGATGATGTTGTGACCAGGATTAAGAAAGAAATGCTTCGGTGGTTTGGTCATGTAGAAAGAATGAATGAGGAAAGAGTGACAAAGCAAATTTATATGGCAGATGTGAACGGCCGAGTCGGGAAGGGACGCCGTAGAAAAAAGTTTATCGACCAAATTGGCGATATTTTGAATAGGGGCCACGTTAAATGTACCCTTAACCGACGAGCATAGATATATGGATGTAAAGGAGGCGAAAGAGGTATGTCAGGATCGTGCCAAATGGAAGTCCGTAGTCTCTGCCTACCCCTCTGGGTGACAGGCGTGAGTGTTTATGTTATATATGTTTATTTTATTAAAATTTGACGTCTTCGTGGCACGGCAGCTTTGAATTAGTACGTAGTGTTTACACCCACCACTTTTCGTCATACAAAAAGGTTGCGGATCAGAATTTCAATCAAAGCCCTCCCGTAAAAAGTTTCACTTCAAAAAACTGTGGCTGCCAACCCGCTTGCCAAGCGTGGCAACTATGGCAAATGTGGGATACCTATGATGCAATCTATGAGGAGGCCTAAATGTTCAGCAGTGGACTTTAATAAGCTGTAACAGTAACGGTATAATTTATTACTGCATAACATTGAATTTACAAAAATTATAACAATATGCTCAATGACTCAATAGTGCCTTCCAATGGATGGGCATTAAGATGAACATGGACAAAACAAAGATCATGTTTAATGTCCATGTTACACCTATGCCCGTAGTTGTTGAGAGCACTAAGCTCGAAGTTGTTGACGAGACCGTTTACCTCGGACAAATAGTCCGATTAGGTATGTCCAACTTCGACCGAAAGTTCAACAGACGGATTCAACTCGGCTGGGCAGCGTTGCAGAAATTACGACACATCTTCTCGTCAGGCCTATGTTCAGCAGTGGACTTGTGAGAGAGTTTTAATGAGAGTTTTAATGATGATGAATGGTAATGGCATTATATTAATATGATACATAAATAGAATGGACGTTACGGGTAGAGTCCACCTATCCATAGAGTCTATTCTATTTATTTAGGTATTGGTAGGGTATAGAATTTTTATCGATATAATTTGGTACACTGTCTTATCCCTATTATTAGTTCCGTGGACGTGCACTTTTGCTGCTAGCGCGAAAATGGCGGAAATCAAATCGCTTCCGAATATCACGGTGTATAGCCAGTCCAGCGTACTTGTATATATAGAGGTCAGTGATATGGATTAAAAGTTATAAAGATTATAATATAAAGAAGACTTGGCTTTAGCCTTTATGATTTTTGAAAATATGAAGAATTAAAGAAAATAAGACTTGGCTTCGGCCTTTATGGATTTTGAAGAGATGGAAAGAAGAAAAATAAGACTTGGTTCCGGCCTTTACACTTCAAAACTCTATATATTCAAATTAAAAAAAGACAAGGCTGTATGGCTTAGTTCTTTTGCCTGCTCTCTTGAGCGAATAATAAAAACAACAACAATCATCTTGCATCTTGTTGTCATCGCACGCTAACTTTGGAGTGTTGTTTTTCAATATAAATTGGCAGTGTTCGTGTACAGGAAGTGCTTGTCAAATGGTGGATAAATGTCTGTAAAACCAATAAAGATGCCGTCGGCAACGAAAGACTCGACAATTTTAAAAATTGCCGTTGAAATGCTCAATGCGCCTGACAAGGTGCCGCAGCTTATTGAGTTCGACCAGAGTCAGCCTTTATCAAGCATCATACAACTGCTATGCAAGCCATGGGGCTTGCCTGATCCTGATAACTACGCCCTTCAATTCTCAGAGAGTAATAATCAAAATTATATCACGGAGAAAAATCGAAACGAGATAAAGAACGGTTCGGTGTTACGTCTAGAGCAGTCTCCAGCCAAAACTGTTCAAGATATACTGGCCAAAATCAATTCAGGTAGTGAAATTGACCAAACGGCAGCTTTAGCAAAATTATCGACTTTAAGTAGTGACCTCACCTTTGCACTGGAATTTATTAACAAGAAAGGTTTATCTCTTATTATTCACAACATTGAGAGTGGAAAGTTCAAAGGTAACTCACTTAAATTTGCTTTAATAACGTTTGTAGAGTTAATGGATCATGGAAATATATCTTGGGATATACTAGAGAATCCATTTATAAATAAAGTTGCAAGCTTTGTTAGCAATCAAACAAATACACAAGATCCAAAAATAATACAGTCGTGTTTATCAATACTTGAAAACATTGTGCTCAATAGCTCAGGAAAGAACTTACATGTGGAGAAAGAAATTACAATACCAAACCTTATATCGCATCTTCAAAACCCTTATCAAGATAGTATTATACAACAAAATGCAATAGCTTTAATTAATGCAATATTTTCTAAAGCAGATTTAAATAAAAGAAAAGCTATTGCAGCAACTTTGTCCTCAAAGCAGGTTAGAAATGTGATCTATGAAAATCTCATTGGAGCTTGTGAATTTTCCAAAAATTTATCAAAAGAAGCTTTAGGTACAGAATTAGCCCATCAGTTGTATGTACTGCAAACACTCACTCTAGGGCTATTGGAACCTAAAATGAGGCAACGGGCTGACTCTCAAGAGCAGGAATCACAAGAAAAAATAAAAGAATTGAGAAAAATTGCATTTGATATTGACAACAACTCCTTAGAAGTGACTACAAGGCATCAAATAAACAACTCAATGAAAGATTACAAAAAACTTGGCTTCAAATGTGAAATTGATCCTATAAAAGATTTCAATGAGGTTCCACCAGGAATATTGGCACTCGATTGTATGCTTTATTTTGCTAGAAACTACTCTGAGGATTACCGAAAGATTGTTTTAGAAAATAGCAGAGCTGTAGAACATGAATGTCCGTTTGGTAAAACTAGTGTTGAACTTGTGAAGTTGCTATGTGACATATTACATATAGGTGAACCACCTAGTGAGCAAGGTCAAACATATCATCCCCTCTTTTTCACTCATGATCATCCATTTGAAGAACTGTTTTGTATCTGTATTGCTCTCCTGAATAAAACATGGAAAGAAATGAGAGCAACTTCAGAGGATTCTATGAAAGTTTTGAGTGTAGTCCGAGAACAAATCAACAGGGCACTTTCTGCATCTCCCAAAGGTTTTGATAAATTTCGCCAAAGAATAAACCAGTTGACTTATGCTGAAATAACACAAATATGGCAGCAGGAACGCACAAATAGAGAAGTATGGGAGTCACATGCAAGACCAATAGTAGAATTAAAAGAAAAAATCACACCAGAGATTATCGACTTAATTCAGCAACAAAGGCTAGGTGTACTGGTTGGTGGAACTAGGTTTAAGAAATATTCTGCAAGGGGTCAAAGAATAAAGGATAAGTTCTGGTTTGTGCGTCTATCTCCAAATCATAAAGTGTTGCATTATGGCGACTGTGATGAGAAAAGTACACCAAGTTTAGAAGAACTTGGTAATAAATTAGCTGTATCAGATATTAAGTGTGTAGTGGTAGGCAAAGATTGTCCACATATGAAGGATCTAAGAGGTAGAAAAGTGACCCCACATTTAGCATTTTCATTAATCTTAAAGTCTGCAGAGGAATCTCTAGACTTTGTAGCACCTGATGAGCAAATCTTTGATTATTGGACTGATGGAATAAATGCATTGCTAAAAGAAAAAATGTCGAGTAGGTCTTTTGAAAATGATTTAGAGACTCTACTGTCTATGGATATAAAAGTTCGTCTTCTTGATGCCGAGGGAATTGATATACCCCAAGATCCTCCACAAATACTAGAAGAGCCAGATGACTATGACTTTTATTATGACAATAACTAGTTTTTTCCAAAACAAGTACTGCATTTAGTTATAGATATTTTAAGTAAACAATTTGAGCTTATAGCTTATAATGTTATCATATTTTATTTTAATCACACATAGTATTCCAGTATATTTAAAGATCTCCATATTAAGAATAATGTAAGACATATTTTAAATAGTTTTTAATAATCTAAATGTGAATTCAAATTATTATATTATTATGTAATTAGTATAAAAAGGACCATTAAGTTTCAGTAGTGACATCCATATCAAATAAAAATTGTTTGTAATATTTAAAAAAAATTAACACTTCATAAATTGTCTTAAACAATAGACTAATCTTTTCATGAACAGTTTAAAAAAATATTATTTTAAATCATGACAAAATCAAAATCAAAATGAATGAAAATTATTGTGTATGTAATTAATTTTCTATAGAAGTGAAAAATAATTTGATGAATTTAGCACCTAAATACTTTACTCATTTCAACATTTATGTCAATGAAAATTCTATAGTTCTTAATTAGAATAAACATATTTTATTGCATTAGTTACATTATGATGAATTTTAATTTGATGTAATCAATTATTTAAACATATTTAACCATTTTAATGTAAACACTTCATTTGTATGTGCTGAATGTATATCTTCCAGTTTAGTGTGTGGCCATATTCCATGATATATTTTATATACCAAAGATCATAATATCTAAAGAACAAAATATATTTAATAATAATACAATCTAATAAAAATCTATTACAAATGTGGTTATTTTATTATCTAATAATTAAATGGAGTTGGCACGAATGGGTAGGCTCAACCAAGGAAGGACTATGCTCTCACAGAATACCAGCGTAAACCAGTGTGTTTTGTATGGTGTAAACAACTGGAGACCCCTGTTACTGGAAACAAGGCATTACATCTTAGTCCTCACAGGTAACAAACTCATCTGCATTTGCAGTCGAGGATGAATGTATATGTCTATGTGCCATAGCAACCTCTTACCATCAGGTAGATTGTGCACTCGTTTGTTACCTTATCCTATAAAAAAAATATTGTTTTAGGCAATGTTATTCAATGTACTCTACTGAATTTAATTTCTTTAGAATGTTTAACTGATTTCACAGGGTAAATTTGAATATACTGACTACTAATAGTTATTTTAGAATTTTCCATTCGCAAAATATACTGTAATGCCATGAAATCTGTACTTCACTAGTTACATATTGAAGTATGTAGGTATAGAAACTAAATTCATATGTTATAGGGCCGCTTTGTGACTGTATTGTACGTTCTTTAAAAAAAATGCTTGACTTGATTGGAGAAAATCATGCTCTCAGAGAATACTAGCATAATTGTAATGACTTCTTAGTGACGAAAACCAGAGACCCATTTTTTTGGGTGGTCATATTGGCTTCCCATCCCATCAGACTACGAGAGTGAAGAAATGGATTGAACCTGTGCCTAAGTATAACACTCGTGCACCATAATCTGGTCATGACACAGATGGCTAGTCTCCATTGGGACTGGTCTCTGTGACAAATTCGATCTAAAGTGCTTGAATAATGGGATGCTGAACTTGCCTTTGCAAGCACCACATTCGTACAAAATAAAATTTAATATAATATTATCAATAAATAATAGAATGTGCTGCTTTTACTTTTTTTTGGTACAAAAGAAATAAATAGATTGCAAAAAATAAGACTTCGTCGACTGACTCAACGTGATACAAAGGTTTCAAATTGCTCAAGCTCTCTTCTCTATCTCTAATTTTATTAAGGTGTTTTGCCAATCTTAACAAGGTCACCTTTTCTTTCGTGGGGAAATCCTCATGGACACCTTTGGCTGCGGGGACACCCGAAAGGTTATGCCGGACTCCTACCGGCTATAACTCCAAGGTGGTCTCCATCAGCGGGATCTCCGTTCGGAATGCAACCGGGGCCTCTCTTTCGCTTTGCTTTATTGAAAGCACGTCCCGGGGGCAGTATTTACTACCCCCAGCACCCTCGCAATGCTATCGCGTTGTTTCGGGACTACTTCCGAGCCATCGGGGGTTACATTACTAGGCGCCGGGCCCCGCCCCAAATGCTTGCAACCCCAGAGGCCTCGTTTCTGGTAGGGGATCACCATCTTAAAGGTGACCCCCTACCAACGGGGTCGTGACGAGTGCCTTGACAGCGTCGTCTCCGAGAGGGATCTCTCCTCCTCCGATCCAGCTCAGCAGCCTCCTTCTGGACCATTACGGACTCACAGAAAGTGGCTACGGCCCTCCACGCCGAATCCTCGCTCAGCATCGCCGACACGACTGCTGGCAGGGAGAGGTTCCGACCGATCCGGCTCGCCAGGATTATCCACTCCCGTTCCCATGCTGGGTAAACCGCAAGCTTATGGGATGCGGAATCCTGGTCCAGCCCACCACAGTGAAAGCAGTTCGCCGTCGCTTCGCGTTCGATCTTACACAGATAATCACCGAAGCACCCATTCCCAGTAATTATCTGTGTAAGTCTGTAGGTGAGTCTTTCTACTCGTCGCTGCATCCAGACTTCGAAAACCGGCAGGATTGCGCCAATGACATGTTTCCGTGCATATAGCGCTCCTCGTTAAGTCGAGTGTGCCATTTCGCCAAGCTTTCTGTTGCTCCTGCCGTTTTAGAGACTTGAGCACCTCATCTGGCTCACTGCCACCTCCCTGACGAAGGATGCGGATTCGATTGTACACCCTCGCATCCATATGCACCAGTATATCTAGGAGTAGAAAGCGAGCCAGGACTGTTGCTGCCTCAAAGGACATTGTGCGGTATCCTCGCACGATCCGTATAGCAATCCTCCGCTGGACACTGTAGATTCGGGACCCTTCGATCGGGTTTGGCGCAAAGCGCTTCTTACTTCCTTCCTATGGGCTTCCCGAAAAATGGTGCAATTGGATCACCGTTTTCTTGCTGATCGGAGCATCAAGGTATCATCATCGTAGTAGACAGTGCATGCTCCGATTACGAGCCCATTAACGCTGGTGTTCCACAAGGCTGCGTGCTGTCACCGACGCTGTTTCTTCTGCATATCAATGAGATGTTGCAAACCGGTAACATTCATTGCTATGCAGATGACAGCACTGATGATGCTTTATACACAGGCCGTGCCAATATTTCTCGGGAAAACGTCGCAGAGTACCGGGACAGACTTGTGTCTGAAGTCGAAATTTTGTTGAACAAAGTCTCGGACTGGGGGCGACTAAATCTAGTCCAGTTTAATCCCCAGAAGACAAAAGTTGGCGCGTTTACCGCTAGAAACCCCCTTTGTGGTCTCTCCTCAGTTTCAAGTCACTCCCCTTGTTGCCTTAGCCAGTATCGGAATCCTCGGCGTAGACATATCGAGTGACGTGCAGTTTCGTGGTCACTTGGAAGAGAAGGCCAAATTGGCCTCTAAAAAGCTTGGCATACTCAGCAGAGCGGGACAGTATTTCATGCCGGTTTACCGCCTGCAACTTCACAAGGCTGCTGAATCGACTACCACCAGAGATTTTTCCGGACCGATACGACTTAGGGACCTTCAAGAAAAAGCCTACTCCTTTTTAAAAGGCCGGCAACGCATCTGCAATTCCCTTGGTGTCAAGGTTGCTCATGGGCGGCGGTTATCACTTTCCATCAGGTGAGCTCTATGCCCGTTTGCCTCCTCTTCTATAAAAAAATTAGTTCTACAGCGTCGGATGGCTAGCCTTTGCGCCCAAACAGGCGCCCCATATAAGGCTACGGACCGCACTACCCCGGCATAGAGGCGGTGGACTTCCTCCCTCGGTCCCCCTAGATTGGGCAGCAGTCTGTGCATAGCACTCTCAATGCGGGGGACTAGGCGCTCAAAGTGCTCTTGGAAGCCCCAGCGACTGTCTAGGTGGAGCTCTAGGTACTTTATGTACCTAGGGCTCGCACCCACGTGGACGCACGAGACGGGTGGTTGGTGGACCTCGGTTTTATGAGGCGCTATTTCTAGACTCAACTCGTGGATTTTGGCAACGACGACTTCCATCCCAAGCTCGGCCAGCTCCTTGGTCCCCTCGAATGTGACCCCGCTGGCGTCTACCAGTGTGTCATCGGCATAGCACATGATATTTACGCCAGCAGGAAGGTCGACACGTCGAGAACCGCATCGTATGCGGTTCCACAATAGCGGACCCAGCACCGAGCCCTGCCGTACCCCACCCGTTTGATCACCCTCCGGATCTTCCTACCATCTTGCCCCGTGTACAGAATGTACCTGTCACGCAAGTAGTCCCCGATTATGCCTTGCAGGTAGGCAGGCACCTGGTGAAGTACTTGTGCCCTCCTGATTGCATCACAGGGTGGAGAGTTAAAGGCGTTGACGATATCGAGACTTATCGCCAACGCCACACTACCCTCGGCTACTGCTTGTTACGACAGGGAGCGGACGCACATAATGGCATTTACGGTGGAACGCTCCCGTCGGAATCAAAATTGGCTATCAGCCAAATCGGAACCGACGCGCGACAGATGTCTGTTGAGCCGAGTGGCAACTATCCTTTGAAACAATTTGCCAATCTCATCCAGCAGGCATATGGAACGGTACGTAGAGGGAGAATCGGCGGCCCTGCCTTCCTTTTTCAAGAGGACCAACCTTACCTCTTTCCAAGCTGTGGGGAACTTGGCACTCTGCAGGTAGCCGCTAAACAGCTGTCTAATCCTGTCCCCCAAGGCAGCCAGACTCAGCAGTAGAGCCTGACCCGGATTTCCGTCAGGCCTCGGTCCGGTGTTCCGGGCTCGCAAGCGGCTTACGGCTCGGTCTAGCTCTTCCATGGTCACCCCCATCTCATCATTCCACTCCCATGACGATGGCAGGTGACCTGAGGGACTTGACCGGTCCTCTGGGAAAAGTGTGCTGATCACTCTTCCCAGCAGGTTCAGATCGAGAGTTTCCGTCAAGGGGACGTCCAGGGCCGGAGTTCTCCAAGCACCATCCTGTACGGTCGCCTCGAAGAATCTTAGTTGAGTCCCTCTAATAGCTCTTTC